CGTAGCGTATAGGCACAATAAGCTAAGACTGTGTCACGCAGTGGACGACTGTGGCATAGCAGTCGGTGCTGGGCCGTGAGCCAGTGTCGCATATAGGATGGAGTTCTATGTTGTGCTTCGAAATACAATGTAGTAACTTGTAAACACCATTTTCTCGTTTCATATAGCTGTATTACCAAGTCTTAAATTTTGCGATGATAGTGTCTTCTGCCCTTATGATCTGGAAAGGGCTGATCGTCGTTACCGGCAGTGAAAGCCCTATTGTCGTGGTGCTCAGGTAGGTCAGTGCAAAGGCTTTTTTTGTTCAAGTCCAAATGTTGTTTTGTCCTTTGTCTCCTCCCCTTCCTACGTGGATAGATTTGGAATTTGAGGCCTCACCTACTTAAACAAGTACTCAAACACTTCTTTTCTTGCTTTTGGACACTTAGCAGAGTCTGCTTTTGTAATTGCAGTCTTCTGTTCACCGACGTCTGTAGAAGCAGTAGATATGCAGTATGTGAAGAGCCAGGCCTGTAGGCCTCTGTTCAAAAGTTAAACACGTGTTCATGTCAGATTCAGCCTTGAATGCAGAAACTGAATATGTATCAGCAGGGAATCTATGTTGTAAATAACAGTATTTTACTGGGAATTGTGTGTTCATGTCACTAGTTATGGGATCTGTAATTCTGCCTTAAAGGTTGTTACCAAAAGATCCTGTGGCTGGCTTTTATGAAAGTCACAGATTTTCTGATCAATAGCAATCACTGACATAAGCATGCTCATGTTAAACTCTTTCTGTGTAGAGGAGAGCTTCCTGATGTACTCTTTGGTTTTTCAGTAGTGGGTTGTTTTTCTTAAACAGTGGTTCCTTTCATCCTTCCTCATAGCTACAATGCTGTTACTTTTCCATGCAGCCTCTTTCACTGAGGCAGTAGGTCAGTCAGTCTTCCACAGTCTGGTTCAGCTTGGGACTGGGTGAGGTTTGGGTTCTATCAGTGGTCTGTGTAGTATTACCAAATGGGTGAAGCTACAGATTTAGGTTAAAATAGTGAGCTCCTCTGTAAGAATGACATATTCCTTGTTTCCATGGTTCTTCTTTCATTTACCATAATGCTAATAAACTTTCTCTTTCTTTTTGCTTGTAGTGGCAGCATGGAACCGGCTTTTCACAGGGGAGACCTGTTGTTCTTAACAAATTTCCATGATGATCCAATCAGAGCTGGTGAAATAGTTGTTTTTAAAGTTGAAGGCAGAGACATTCCAATAGTGCACAGAGTAATCAAAATACATGAAAAGTAATGCAACTTGTCATTTTCCTTCTTTCTAAATATAGTTTCCTTCACTGTGACTTTCACTTGTATTTTAATTCGACTGTACTTTCTGAAGAAGGCAAGGGAGGATACGCTATAAGATTAAACTCGCCTCTAGCATGTGGTCTGGTTTTCTCCCCAGTTCTGTGGCCCAATTCTTGGGACCCTGACTCCTGTCCCTCAGTGAGGTTGCTCAGGTTCAAAGTAGGTAAACCTGTGCCAAAGAGGAGTCCAGTAACACGATCGATCTGTGTTACTTTTGCCAGCAGTAGCGATACGGGGGCAGAGTCCATCTGTGTACTGACTGCTGCAGAACTGGGATTTTGGTTATGAGAAATAGCTGCATCTAAAAGCAAATCTCTGAAAGAAGGGGAAGCATTTTTGAAACAAATATGTTTATTCAAGGATCACCTCTTTCTATACCTAATTTATCTTCATTAAAAAATCCCTGTTTCTGGAGATCATTACTTGCAATTAGGTTCTTGGGCAAAATCGTTTTGAGGACCGCAAACTTGTTTATTTAAATGGGAGTGTTGAGCCCATAACTTGCATGCTTTGTCAACACATACAGCTAATGCTTGAAAGGGAGCAAAACAAGGCAGGTTTTCTGACAGCAGTGGCTGAGTTATATCATGTTGAAAACGTAGTGTAAGGGTCTTTGATCATTTGAGATGGTAGAGCAAAGGTTAAGATTTGGGAGTGTTCAGGGTTTTAGACTCCTATTCCTACCAGAAGAACTGAGCCTCCTCCATGGCCGGGACATGAGGCTCTGCAGGCATTCATCTACCTGAAGTGTTGCCATCCCTTGGATTTCTCCCTAAAACCCCCACACGTTGTTTTGTTTGCATGATGTTATTTAAAGACAGATTACATGTCCCTTTTTTTATATGCCACATTAATAAATATAAAATGTAAGTGAGCTTTTGCCAGGGACTGTATTGTTGAATAATTAATGGGTGACCTAAAACTATATTGCAGTGTTAGTGACAAAACACTGAATTTGATGTGGATCTGCAGCTGCTTTAGAGGCTCTTCAATATTTATTTCCATCAGAAGGACAAAGCCTTATTCTGACATAATCTATGACTCTGTCAGTAATGTGAATGGTTTGATAGAGTTTGTTAAATAAGCGGGACAAGCAGGGCTGGAAGTAAACGTTGTTATCTAATCTTGTAGCACTTTCCATCTCCACTGTGCTTCATAGATGTTAATTGAGGTTTTTAAATTAAGTGATATTTAGTTTATCTCATTGCCTTCTAGAGAAAATGGGAATATCAAGTTTCTCACCAAAGGGGATAATAATGAAGTTGATGATAGAGGCTTGTATAAAGAAGGTCAGAACTGGTTAGAGAAGAAAGATGTTGTTGGAAGAGCAAGGGGGTAAGTAATGTAAAATGTTTGTGTTCTTTGTAACTGAAGTAGGATGTTTTAAATTTAAGTGGGTTCTGCTGTTGCTACAGACTAGACCTGGTATGGAATTTTTTTCATCTCTTAAATAAAACAGTCATTAAAAAAAACACCTGGAAAAACTGTTTTCTGAAGTCCTGTCAGTGGTGTGGAGAGTGGAAATTAATTCTTATTTTAAAAAATGATACATCTAATTCCCCAGTAAATACAGAATTAACCAGCTTGTCCTTGTGATTGCTAGAAAGTACTCAGAAATTATTTCCACAATGCACAGGAATTTTGTGTAAGGTTTGAGCTTCTGACTTTGCCCCCTCCCCATGCTGAGATGAAATCTAAGGCTTTTTTCCTTAGAGAAGAGTTTAAATTAGTAATTTGAGAAAAATAAGTTCCCTTTCATGTTCAGATTTGTGCTAGGGGCAAGCTAAATGATTTTTTTACACTGCTCTTTGCTTTTGCTTAGAGCCTGTGGCAAAGTGTCGTGTGGGGCACACGAGCCTAGTGGAACTGAGACTCCAAGTTAAATAAAAAGAAACAGAACACGTGCCCCTCTAAACCTGAATGCTGGTATAGTGGCTCAAGTGCTGATTTTAAATATGTCCTGTTTGAAACCCTTTCTGCATTACACTACATGGGTTTCATAGCTGCAGAAGAGCAGAACACCCTGAAAAGCTGATTCCCCTGTGTGGCAGGATGTTAGACTTCTGTGGGTACCCCCCCATTATGATGGTATTTTCTTGCCATTTCTGGGACCCGTGTGTATTTCTAATGCTGTGAATGATACACATCAAGATGAGGAGTGGTGGGAGAGGGAAATCTGAGAGGTCTTGCTCCCAAACTTTCATGAAATACATACTGTCTTTAAAGCTTTTGCTGCCTAGGTGTGTTTTTTCCTCTCTGAAATTAATTATCTCATGTATTCAAGATTCACAACAGTGCAATGTTTCCATGCAATATTTGAGGGTTAGTTTTATCTTTTTCTGTCAATTACAGATTTTTGCCTTATGTTGGTATGGTAACGATAATAATGAATGACTATCCAAAATTTAAGGTAGGTGTACGGATATTTTGCATACTTGAATTTAAAACTGAAGTAGCCACTGAAGGTAGTAAGAATCTTGCATGTAAGAATGCATGTTAATCTACGATTTGTTTCTGAGGTTTGGTACCTCATGTGAATGAGCTGTGCTTTCTCACTTACGGTAGCTTGCCTGTGTAAGCAGGACTTGGTGTTTGTAGCCATTTGAAAAGGTTTCTTTTATAAAACTGATGTAAGCTAACTGTATGTGGTTATTTGTAAATTCAGAGCTTCTCTGAAGAGAAGTTGGAGTCACTCTGTTCTGTTTTCTTTTGCAGTATGCTCTTCTGGCAGTGATGGGAGCGTATGTACTGCTCAAACGGGAGTCCTGAAGCAAAACCACTTTTCCAAGAACAAAGTTAAATATATGGGTGGGGGGAGCCTAATATATTTCAGATGTTTTCATTTCTGTATACAGCAAAAACCTGTACAAGCTTTCATCTCGTCTAAATAAACTGCACACCTGAGGAGTAAAGCTTTTGGCTGTTGGTTAATTATGTAATGGCATATTTACTATCTTAATTAGATGCTGCCTGCCGTTAGCCTTTTGCTTGTTTGAAGACACTGACTGTCATGTGCTAAAGCAGTGTATAGCACTCCTTGACAGGCTGTGTTGTTTTTCTCCAGTGGTAGTGCATCTGTGAACCTGCTTTGTCCCTCCTGCTTGTACTTTTGGTTTTCCTGATGACTTTTAATCTCTGCCAGCGACCTCTTTGAGTGTACTTAAGTAATATTACCAGTAAGCGTCAGACATAACTCCTATTCCAGTGTTGAGAACATACTGTTCTCTTCTGTCATGATAACCTGAATAGTGTTAAACATAAAAATGATTTTCACTTTAAAACCTAACTGTCTTAGGAAATTCTGGATTTTTCTCTTCTTGGCTTCAAATGTCAGTGTTGTACCTTCAACAAAGCAGAACTTGTTTTCCTTGCTTGCATTGTTTTTGGAGCCTTGCTAAGGAACAGCATGATGCTTTTTCCTACAGAGTTTTGTTTCTTCTGTAATCCCTTACCTCTACAAAAATATACTATTATACAATAATGGCACCTCTTGTGTTGTAATGGTGAATGCTGAAAGGCAGACAACTGCTGAATTTTTCCAAGTAATATTGCTTCTTTTGTATCCGACTAAGCAGTTTTCATGACAAACTGTATTCTAAAATTACTTATTTTGTATCAAATTGTGTAGAAATAAAATTGAGGATAATAAATGGCATGTCAGAATAATTCAGATACCCTTAATGTGGTCTCCCAGAAGTGTGCCACCACAGTCAGGAAAAAAAACCAATTGGATTTTTGGAGACGGTGTGTGTCACCCCCTCCCCAGTATTGCTGAAATCAGAATTTGTTCCTCTCTCCCTACCCCAACGCAGTCAGTCAGCTCTAACTGTGAGGAAAGTTTTGGACATAACCCCAGTGTGAATGCTTAGGGACTACCCATCTCCAACTGGATGGGCTTCCTCTTGATTCTGTTCTTGACTTTCATTCCCCTAATTGTCTGACCTACTTTAAGCCAAGCATTTCCGCTTCCCATGATCTAGTTAGAAGTCAGGGCAGGATGAAATGCTGGCAGTTTTACCCAGAATATAAATTTCTCTTATAAATCCTTAGGCAGCAATACAGAATCCTATTTCTTAGGCTGATAAGCACTGGTAGATGAGCATCAATGGTGAAATGCACGTCCAGAGAGTTTTCTTTCTGCTGTGCGTAAATTGCACTGCGCGATGCTTGAATGACCCCTTGTTCACTAAATGTTGTTAGTGCCTGCAGTTTGCTGTTGGGTATATTTTATAACTGTTACCAGCTTTTCCTGCTGGTCCTGCCGAGAACAAGTCTGAAGGTGCATGTTGCAGCTGAATTCGTCTCTCAGCTCCAGCTGCAGATATTGGAAGATCCGCCTGCTGTGGACAACATGGGGATGTATCTCTCAGTGGAAGCTCTCCTGTTCAGCGCAGCCCACGCAAGTTGGTAGTTAGTAGTTCTCTGCCAGGGGGGTGAGGTCTGTGAGTTGAGCAAGCCCAGCAAAGCACATGGGGAGGAAACGGGAGCATGGTAGTGGCAGAGGAAGAGCAGGTGTAGCTTTTGGAAGCAGTGAGCTGTTTACATTTTTCCCATCTCTAATGTGTAACTTTGTGTTTAACATTTCAGAAGTATGCGAAAGTCTCGAATGCTTCCAGAGGAGAGCAACGAAGAGATAAATGAGCAACTGGAGAGAGAACTTCAGTTTAAGCCTTGTTAGCAACTAATTTCTCTCTCTCTTTAATCAAGATAGTGAGTACCAGTGATGGAAAGAACCTTTTTCTCTTCATCTGTGAATTTTTATCAGTGTTTCTTTGAATATTTTAGGGGCCAAAACCAAACAAAATGTAAGCCACTACATGACACAAATTCATCTGCTACACAGCTTGGCATAAATAAGTACATTCCATCTCTTCTGTCATCACATATGTATATAGAACAGACCCTGTTAGCCTTACACTTCACTATGGCCTGTCCTTTTGTGCCCTTACACTTGCCCTGCTGTCTGTTTGCCCTCTGGACTTGTCATGCAGGCTCCTCAGCTCTACTCTCTCCAACACATAATGCTGTTTCTAAATCCAGCGTCAGCAGCTGTACGTGGAAGAAAGTTGACATTTAGGTAACAATTCAGTATCTTCAACATTTACAAAGTATTCCTCAGCGATGTACTGTGTTATTACATCGGTGCTGAGCTTAAACCCTTGTTTGCTCCGTGCACACATTAGAGCTGTCTGCAACATCAGGCTCACTACAAAGAACTGATGAAAGCCACACCATTCTTCTTTCCTCCTCTTTTATTTCCACAGTATCTGCCTTGCCATTAGAACAATTGTAGTTGTCCAAAAAATGTAGAGGAAGCAAATTAAAGGGTGTGATTTTTGGCAGTAGCATTTATAAACCCACTGTTTTCCTGCCATGGGGCACAACTGTAAGTACTTCCCTTTACCACTGGGTATGTGAAAAGCAGAAGGGTATCGCTGCATCTAATTTCCTGTTCTTGCCACTTTCTACTTTCACGTTTTGGCATCTTTGCAGTGGTTTGGCTTAGTTTTCAATAGATGGCTTGGGTTTATTTATTAAGTATTGGGTTATGCTGGTGCTTTTTCCAGTCAGGTTTCCCTTTGCAACCCAAGTTTAGGCTGGGACCCCACAAAAGACATTGGGGCGAGGGGAGAGATACACAACACTTTAGTTCATCCCCCGTTAGTCCCAAGGTGCTAGCAGGGGAAGGCACATGAGAAAAAGAGCAACTGCCAGCCCAGCCCAGGCCAAGGAAATTCCTGGAGTTGGGGTGGGACATGAGCCACAGTGTGCTGATGATAATCCTGCCTATGGCAAGTCATCAAGGCCTACAGTTCCCAGTGATCATGGAGTATGTCAAGGAGCAGCTTCTTCCTATACAGCTCAACCCACTCGCAAGAGCCATCAGCTTCTTATCCAGCTGCAGCTGTTGGCCCTTGCTGTGGCCTCTAGGACTGCAGGCAGAGCCCCCAGTGCAAAGGTAAATCCAACACAGCTTGGGGAGGCCAGGGCAGTCAGAGGGTTGCCAGTACAACCACTGTAGGGTTGGAAAGCCAAATATTTTGCTTTGTTGATTGGGTGGTTTTCCCTGAAAATGGATAGTTCTCTGAATTTTTCATTTCCTGCATTTAATTGCAAGGAACAATTAGAATTTCCCACAGATAGCAATATTGTATTTGATCAGCTGTCACTTGGCACAGAGTACACTGCCTGTAGCTGTACTGCAGGCTGCAGTGATTGAGGCGTGAGAATGCTATTGTAAATTACACAAGCATGCATAATTAATAACCAAAATAAAAGAATGAATCACATTAATTAAAGAAGATGCCATAAACTAAGACTAAACAAGGGAACAATTCCACACGACTTCATCCCTGTTGTTCTCCACTGGGACAAACAGCCCATCAGAGTCTTTCTATCCCTCTACTACTCATCTACCTTTGCTTGGGCAAAACTACTACGTGCCCAAAGCTGAGCATGCATTTACGCATTCTGCTTCTCCATGGCCTTTACGCATCAGCTCCAGGGCTTCACCTCTGCACCACCTCTTCAGGATGGAATTGGGGGAAAAAGACAAGGAAGCTCATAAAATAGAGATAAGAGCTAATTACTGATTGAATATACATGAATGATATATAAAAAAAATTAATGTATACAAATATTACTAATAATAAGGAAATAGAATAATAGAAAGTGGAACACATTACAATTGCTCATCACACATTGATGGACACAGCCAAATCCCGAGTAGCCAGAGTCAGAACCAGAGCCCGAGGGTGATCGCAGCAGAGT